TTAAATAAAACGGAAGTAAAAACAAAATGTGAAAAAAGAAAGAAGGAAAAAAAATTATGAATGGAATCTAAATAAATTAACGAATTGAATTTTAAAAATGTATAAATTGATAAAATTAAATAAAAGAGTAAAAGTAAAAACAAATAACTTGGATAGAAATGCGTTTTAATTTGATATTGTTCACTTTTGACCCTTTGTTTCACTTTTTTTCTGGACAACAAATACGATTTCAAAAACTATGACGTTGCCAAAAAGGTTAAATTTTAGAAATATATCAAATCAATTAAGTTCGAGACGATGTTGCCCGATGAATGTTCTGCAATAACCTCTTCTATTTGCAAGAAACAATAGTGCTAAGTAAAAAAGCTGACTGGATAAACATACTAATGTTTTTTTTATGAATATACTGAATATACCAACATACGAGAATCGGATTAAATGAACATAATTCATTTTCTCTTCCTTTCGTTTAAATATTCATGACTAGAATATATATTAAAAAAAAAGAAAAGAAAAAGAAATTAATAACGGCAGGACGGCGGCTTCTGCTGATAAGAGAGCAAGCACCCACGAGATAACGCTAATAATTAATGCCATTTCGCTAATGACACATTCCCGACGCATAATGACAGATCTTGCACGATGTCAAACGTTGCCGATCCGCGCAAGCAACATTAACATTTCCGAAAAAAAAAACGAAATCCAGTCCAGTACCAAAAAAAAAAAAAAAAAAAAAAAAAAAATCTAATTAAAAAAGAAATTTATAAATCGATAAAATTTATCTTGGGTTAATTGCGACGGCAATTAACGGGTGGGAATGCACGGTCATGCCCCGGCCTTTCCACTTTAGGCCCTTTGGTCATTCCCAGATCATACGGCCACAGCGAGGAGACAGGGCGCTGTGACCCTCGTCGTGAGGGAGGCTGAGGCTCGGGCGCCCCCCAGGCTGCGCCGCGAGAGATCTAGTGCTGCACTATATCTCGAGATGCATTCACGCACACACAACTATATGTATGTATGTATGTATGCATATATATATATATATATATATATATATATATATATATATATATATATATATATATATGTATATACACGTGTGTGTGTGTGTGTGTGTGTGTGTGTGTGTGTGTGTGTGTGTGTGTGTGTGTGTGTGTGTGTGTGTGTGTGTGTGTGTGTGTGTGTGTATGTATGTGTGCACATTATATATATATATATATATATATATATATATATATATATATATATATATAAGTACATATGTATATATGTATAAATAATTGTATTTATATGTATATGTACATTTATATATACATACATATATATGTATATATATATAAATGTATACATACGCATACATACATATATATGTATACATATATTAAATATATACACATACGTGTATACATACATACAAAAATACATACATATATTCATATACATACGTATGTGTGTAAATTAACGATTAGAGCATTCCTATTACATTCTCCCCTTTGTTTTGTGCCTGTTGACAGCACTGCCAAAGGTGAGCACGACCCAAAGCAGCTCCAGGGGATGGGGGGAGGGGGGGGGTTACAGACCCCTTGCGCAGCAAAACCGTGCAGCGTGCATGTTGCCCATTTGCAGTTTACGCCGAGCGGCATTCCAGAGGCTGCGGGCTGCGGCTCCCAGGCTGCGGGAGCGGAGAGGACCACCAGCCACTACCTGCTGTGTTGCATTTTGGCAAACAAGCCCAGATCCACACGTCTGCCTTGTTGCCCGTTGCACTTATTATTGCACAGCGCTGGACTCTTGTGCTGAGTAAGTCTGCCGCTGGATAGATCACGAACACATGACTATAAAACTTGCCTTCGAACAAAAGAAACGCAGCCTAATGGCGCGGGCAAGAAATTCATTCCGCTCTGACTGGTTTTGCTTCGATGAATTAGCTCGCTGTGGGGAAGCCTGTATCTGATTTCTTTATAGCATGAATTAGAGCTATTTTTATCGGTTTATTTTTAGTTCCCACGATGATAAATAGAAAGAATGGCAAATAATCAGAGTTAACAATCAGTTCTTAACAACCAATTCAACTGTAAACTTAAAAGATAAATGGCCATTTCGTACTCAGAATTATGTCTCATTCATTTTTTACAAAGAGTCTAAACCTTAAAGAATGGAGTCCTCACAAGGTAGAACTCTCCTGTCCATAGATTATCTCACAGGATCAGTTCATTAATTCAGATGAACGCCACATACAGGCCAGTATGTTACTCCGTCTCGGCTCAGAAATGCTGCCTCACCTTAACTAATGAATGGCAACAGGCCTGGGAAAATTTCGTTCCCACTTTTAATTAGTTGATCAAATAGGATGCATGTTACGTTGCATGACTGCAAAACAAAATGTCACTCTTATGAGAACAATTGCTTAAGAAAAAGGAGAAAAAAAGCGAGACTACACGTTATAAAAATACTTGCATCCTTCCCACTATGTGATACGATCATAACAGCGTGTACTCACCCTCTAGTGCCAATGTTCCTCTTTGTCGGAGCCATGTAGTCTCTGGTTTGCCCTCTTCTCCTGTAGGCGCTGACGGGGGGCAGCAGAAGGCATGCTGTCACTGTCACTATCACCGCCGTCACCGCACACCGGCGGGCCCACCACCCACACCACTCTCGCATTGTTCTTGTCCTGTGCTTTCTGTGACCTTTTCCTGTGCTGTTGCAGCTGTGGGTGCTTTCGAGTGCGTTTTGTAGGGGACACTAAGCTCTTTCATTGATCATTAGCAGCTGTTACTTCACTGTCGATAACACCAATAGTAAAGACCTGGGCATTGCCACTGTCACTTGGATCTAAGTAAGAGTATTTATTCCCTGGAAATGTGAAATACACTTAAAACACACTTATCAAATGCCGAGACGACACGTTTCAAGCAACTGTCCTAACAATAACATATGGGACAGTTCACGCCACAACCACACAGACAAATGAGCCAAGTCATAAAACGAGCGCATTTCTTATAGTTTTTTTAAGACACTTATACGCTCGTTGCTACAGGCTGTACGGCATCTTTATCGCGTGCTTGTCTGAAGGTCCAATTCAAGCCGCCTCCTAAATTCAGGCAAATTCGGCCAGGCGCACTTCAAATCACTGCCAATAAGTCAGCCAAATGCGCCGGCCAGACGTGCGCTACGAGATGGCATGTCACCCTCAGGATTCGCCTTATTGCTTTACAACGTCTTGCTCCTCGAACGCCGCTACGCCTTCGACGGCAGCGGCGGCGCTCGTCCTCGAACCGAATCCCAGGGAGTGGAAACGCGGATTTTAAGCATTCGGCGACTCGGCTATGGGGAATCGCTAAATATTTTCCCTCTCTATAAGCTTCGTTCTCGTTTATCATTTCTTATTATACTTGTAGATGCAATTAATATTATTATGTCTCTTTCACACAGTCACGAATCTCTAATCGTGAAACCATAACAGCATCCTCGCCTTGACCACCCGGGGCTTAAAAAATAACAAAAGCAAACACATTTCATTAAAAAAAATAATACAAAAGACACCACGTGCGGATCTTATTCAACAGAGGCCCCGATATGTATAACACGGCAGGTACAGAGCAAGAGAGCGAAGGACTCCTCAGGGAAGGATTTTAACAGCAGGAAACATGAGTCACCCATGACCCTATAAGGACACGAAACGCCTTCCACAGCAAGTAGACAGAATCGGCGCCAGCGATCTCAAGGCGAACAGCAGAAAAAAACTCCTTTTCACACTCCAATGGCGTATCATGTGCCAGATTATGAGTGTGGCAGATGGAAATTACCCTTTATCTGTGTCCCTCACTTCTGATCACATTTCTTACCCGCACAAAGAAAAGCATTACGAATTGCGTCCGAACACAGCGATTTGCACCGTTTCGGACACGCTCTTGGGGTCTTACTATCGAAGATAAGTAGAAACATGACCGTCGCTTTTAATATTTCAAGAAGCGGGAACGTAATAATAAATAAATAAATAAATAAATAAATAAATACATAAATAAATACATAAATAAATAAATACATAAATAAATAAACAAATAAAAGTAATAAGAAAAAGAAAAAGAAAAGGCCCAGAATCGACAGTCAAGTGGAGGTTTATTTACATTGTTGAAAAGATGTGAAACTAGATCCCTTACGATGAATGAGTATGTAATTTATATGTGTTACACATCAAGAACCTCATCGATATTAAGAACTCATTAGTTGCACAAAGTTTCAATATTATCTTTCTTATGTTTCCATCATCTTGGCGTTTGAAGCATGAAGAGGTTAACAGCCATTTCAATATAAGCAAAGTCATATAGTGACACGAGAAAAAAAAAATAAACAAAAGTAAATATAGAAATCATAAAATGCATTTGGCTTTTACGTCAAGTATTCTAACAGGGAGACATTTTCTCATTATCTCGAGTCAAGCAGAGACCCATTTCCTTCCCTATAAATCAGTCGAAGCCTTTCTCCTCCTCAAGCACTGCTCTCCTCCTTAGCCCCTTCTACACCTCGTTTATCATCGTTTTGTACTGCTTATCCACGTTTACGCTGGTCGCCACTGTGCCCTTGTAACAGAGGTTGGTAATTACACTGTTATTCCGTGTAAAGAGCTCCTCAAACAACCATTGTCATGTACTAATATATAATTGAGTTAATAGTTATAATACGGAGTAACCGTTTTATTTTCGAGATAGTGTAACAAGAAACTGCGGTCACGCTATTATAAATCTGGATAAGTCTCATTAACCCTCAGATAACCTAAAATTACTTGCTATCACAACCCCGCCCTCATGGCTCTCGCGCCCTACCGAAAGCTGTCTCCAACAATCACACTCACTTATCACAAACATGACACACTTGGGCACTCTTGACACCACACAGGAGACACTAACGAATTAACCATGTCCAACCTCCTTCGGTGATATTTCATCTTGAAGTGTTTACATCTAACACGCCCGCCATGCGACCTCTCTCATCACGAAAACAAAACCCATAACAAACACACACTCGCCCAAGTCACGCCTGCAAACACACACGTCACAAAACACAGACCCGGACTGAGAGAGCGACGTGCTACAAACCCACTAAATTAAACGCGCTGAGTCGGAGATAAAACCTTACAAACAAAAAGGAGCTGGAACCACGAAGAACGCCGCCATGATTGCTCTTTCCCGCGCGTTTTCTTGCCTCATGCGGCCGCTCAGTAGACCAAACAAAACGCTCACTAACGGTTGCCCCTTAAACCCTTCGCTATACAAGTCCGTCCATTCATAGTGTTTGTGTATCTTGGCCATCTGTGGAAACAAATACGAATGCATATTAAGATGCTTGAATAAGAATCCCATTGATTCTCGTCACGTTGGGGGCCTTTGTAGATTTGTTTGAGACACCTGACGTGCTATAAACTTGATAAATGAATGGAGCGATAAATGAATGAATCAGGAACTAGAAAGGTCGATAAATAGTAAGTAGGTAGGTAGGTAAACATGTTTCGATTCACAGTAGGTGCTTCATGAAGTCTGTAAAACATAGGAAAATAACGAGTCTCAGTTGAACTCCATTAGAGGAAAATTAATCACCTGATGTGTTTTCAAAGGAGCATGCAACTAATTTGTTTCAAATGAGAAGGAAATTGTGAAGGTTTAAGAGTAATTGAAGAAGTGTGCAAGAGAGAGAGGGAGAGAGAGAGAGGGGCAGACAGACAGACAGACAGACAGACACGGACCTAGACAAGACAGAAACAGAGACAGAGGAACAGAGAAATTAAGTTAGATACAGAGATAAAAAAATGATAGAGACATACACACACAGAGAAAGAAAAAGAGAGAAAGACAGACAGACATACAGAGAGCGCCAGAGAGAACACCCCTCCCAGGTGGTCTCGACGGGGATATGGATGTGTGAGCGACCGAGAGGCAGGTACAAAGCCAAGCCACCCTCGACGGGGAGGAGTGAGTGTCCGAGCAGCGCCTTCGCGGTTCGCAGACGATATCTCCTTCAGTTCTTCCTTATAAGTCCTCCTCACGCTCGGTGGCGGCCGCGGGGCGCACTCACGCGCTCCGCCGGCCGCCGGTGCGCTGCCGCCGAGATCGACCGATAGCAACTCATGGCGAACGTAGTCATTTCGAGATAATCACTTCTGCCTGATACCAGTACCACGGGACTTCGCCAATATCTATTCACTGGGCATTATCTTTCCTTCTACACTTTACGAGTTCGGGTCGGTACCTGCGGGGGCAGAGGGGGGGCATGGGGTACTGGGAGATGGGGAGAGATAGGGGGTGTTCGCATAGGTGGGGAAAGGGGTATGGGGAAAGGTAGGGGGGGTAGCAGAGATGGGGCATTGGGTATGGGGAGGGTCACAGAGGTAGGGCATGGGGTATGGGGAGGTTCGCAGAGGTAGGGCATGGGGAATGGGGAGGGTCGTAGGGGTATGGGGAAGGACAGAGGTGGATGGCTTACGCACGACAAATGAAACGCTGTCTTGGACAATCTTACTGCTCTGGTGTCCCGTGGAGGAGGACTGGATGCCAAGAAAGAGAAGGAGGGGGGAGGGGAGGTGCAGAATGGCGGTAGAGAAGATAGTAAATGGGAAATACGAAGCAATGGTAGATAATGGGAAGAGGAATGAAAAGAGAATAATAAAAAAATACGACATAAGGAAGTGAAGATTTTAGATAAAATATAAAAAAGATAATAATAAAGAACGCTAATACAAAGATGCGAAAAGGGTAAATGAAGGAGAGTTGAATGAGAAAACGTTAGGAGCGTAATCTGAGCCCGCGCGTAGATCACGGACCCTCCAATAAACAGCCAGAATAATTCCCGGCGGAAGGGGCACTTACATGAACACAAATGAACCCCAAAAAAACGTCGTTCATCGGTATACCCCTGTCCCCTTGCCCACTACCCCCTGACACTTGCCTCTTGCCCCCTACACCCTGACTCTTCCCACTTGCCCAGTGCCCCCTATTCTGTAATTCTTGCCCTCCTACCCCCTGTTTCTTGCCCCCTGGCCCCTGCTCCCTGCCTCTTGCCCCCCTACCCCCTACCCCTTGCTTCTTGCCCCCTAACCCTCTGCCTCTTGTCCCCTACCCCCTGCCCCCAGCCTCCTGGCCCTCTGCATCCTCCCCCTCCCTCCCCGGCGTCTGTGCGGACAAAGCTATATTGATTGCGTCGCGTAACTTTCATCTCCGACACCAATCTTCCTGTTTTCGGAAACTTGCACCACGTCGCAGCCTCCGTGTCCGCCATCACTCAACCGCCGCGGGAGGAGCAGCGCGGGCGTGCGGGCGTGCGTGCGAGCGGGCGTGCGGGCGGACGGACGGACGGGCGGGCGACCTCCTCCCGCCCTCCCTCCCTCCCTCCCGCCCTCGTCTGACCCCGCCGTCCGAGGGAACTTTACACCGACGTAGGTTGTGATTTATGAACACGTGTAAGGGAATTAATGTCCGTTTATGTCGGACAAGCTCGGGCTCATTATCCGTGATTAAGTGCAATTTGGCAGAACGCCTCCTTCCTTCTCTCCCTCCCCACCCTCCCCTCCCTCCCTCCCCTCCCCTCCCTCCCTCCCTTCCCCCCCATCTCCCCTCATCTCCTCCCATCCTCCACCCCAATCCTTCGGCGTTCACGAGAGGAACCCCCGAAGCGGCGCCCGAACCCGCCCCCGAACCCGCGGCACCGCTCCCAAAAAGGGCGTGAGGCGGCGAGGCGGCGTGGCGGCGAGGCGGCCATGATGAATATCCACGCCCCCCCCCCCCCCCTGCTCGCGACTACACGGACCGTCATCACATTTGCACACGAAAGGCATCCATGATCACTTTTCGGCGTGCTACTAT